AAAAAAACACACCAATAAAAACATTGTGTACTGACCGTGATTACATGCGTAAAACTATTTAACATAAATATAGGTCCGTGCTTATAACCAGTAACTTATTAACAACAGATAAGTATTCATTAGAATATTAGTTCGTACCTAATAGTGTGTTCTTGTAATCCGACGTTATGAAATGGCGATGACAAACAACATCCGATTTCCCTGGCTGCCACAGGCCTTTCGTCACGGTATCCACTCGCCTGATTGCAATTCGCCATATTTTCTGCAAAGCTATTTCCGTTGGAAATTTATGACCACCCGAATTCTTACACCCGGGGACACAGCAGTATTGTGGCATGGTGATAAATGACAGTGATAAATGTATCTATAGTTAAATTGCGATCGCCATTTGTTTACCTGACGACACAGAAGAGTTCCGAAAGTTATACCCGCTAGTGCAGTGGCGCCCCCTGACAGCGAAAAAACCGTTGGCGAGACCCATTGTCCAGCACCGCCGGAAATGCGGATATCTCGGTCTAGTATGCAAGTAATCTCGGTCTAATATGCAAGAAATCCTTTTCAAACGACGCAATGAATCCCAGAAATGATCTTAAACAGCTCTAGATGGAATAAATCTAAGGTACCGAGTGCATTTCGGGGAACCTCGATGAAAGAGAGAAAAAACATACTGATAGAACGGGATTCAAACCTGGGACATCTATATTTAAAAAGGACACTGGCAATCAATCCAGTCTCTCTCTCTCTCCCCCAGTATATTTTTTATTATATGTAGATACATGTATTTCATATTTTTTACATTTTGTAATAAACTATTCTATGCTTAATCTGCGTAATGAGAATTTCATTTCATATATATCCGTTCGTCTCTATTCTCTACGATTTTTTTGTTTTGATTTAATCTTGGAAGTACATCTTTCTGAAATAGTGTGGTAAGATAAACATGAAGAATCTCTTTGATGAGATAAAAGTGCTAAGGACGTGACGGGGTTGTTGATTTTTGTTTCTTTTTATATTATATACATTGTACACGTATGTATATATTCATATACCGAACATCAGCGAGGACTTTGTGATATAGTCAGATATGACAGTGTTTCCGTTAAGAGATTACTCAGCTTCTTTAAAAACATACCATGATACATACAAAAATTAGAGGATGTCCGTAAATTAAAGGGCCGTATTCACGGAAACGTTCTCATGCTCAAACCCAGATTCTGTGCTCAAGCCCAATATTTTGTTCCAGCGACAAATGTAAAATAATTATTTTGTCAATGATTTGGAATATATGGAGTTTTAAAGCCGAAGTATATTTCCAATGTTAACATTTGACTTTTTGAGCGTGTCACATTATTTAAGTGAGTAACAGAGTTGGTTTGAGCACGGAATCCATGCTTGAACATGAGAACGGTTTCATTAATACGGGCCGAGGTATCGGTAATATAAGCAAATTCTCAATTTAATGCATTACATTTCATACGCTTTTACGTATACGAAGCTATGACATGTTTAAAACGATGGTTACAAAAATATAATATGAACACGAAAACCAATTTGAAGAATTTTATTGATCACATGATTGTTACTACACAAATTCGTAAAAGCAAAACTGACCAGTACAAAATGAACAGAATTTTGCATGTTGGTAATTTTACAGAACCTGTGGGTCAGTTTGACCGAGTGAATAACTGACCACGACAACACCATCAGACCATGCCATTAGCGGTCATTGCAGACTCAATCCATTTTGATATGCCAAAATACTAAGCATAGCATAAATGTACGAGGTACCGATAGCTTTCAAGATGTGACAGGGTTAGAACCTTCGAAATGATAGGCGCAATCAGCGTGGAACCAATGGTGGTTTGAGCTGACCTACAATGTATTCGTTGAGTATTTGACAAATTTTCTCAAAACACTTATACACAGTTGAGATCGACATCGTTCTAACTTGTTAATGTGATAAATACCGAGAACATCTACATAAAGCGAACCGACTTCGAACTGACCAATGCTACTTAGTCAACTTTCTAGCTCCACAACTACTCAAATCACCTAATGGCCAATAGAAGCATGTTAGCAACTAACCAATCAAACAACCCTCATCGAAATTTATCTGTTGGACCACTTATACTAGCTAGGTTATAAATGGTCAATTCATCAGATATCGATTGAGTC